TTTCTTTCTCCAGGTTACTAGGTAAGTTAACAATTGACAAGGCTGCAAAAGGACATTTCTGTAAAATAACATGAGTTTATACATTTAAAAGATTATAATTAATACAGCAAATCATTTTACCTGCAGTTCTCTTTTTAAACAATAATTAATATAATTTTATACTTTATAATAGACTGAGATAGGTGACTATAGAAATTGAATAAATAAGTTTTATTTAAGACTATAATAGGCCACAAGGAGAAATTAAATGAAATTTATTTTGAAGTTGCTTGCAATGGAAAGCTTATTTTTCATTTTCGAAGCAGAATACCAAAAAAATACAGAATTTAATGTATAAAATAATTGTCATAATTTGGACATTACATCAACCATAATTGGGGAGAGCAAAGAAGCAAGAATTAAAAACTCAAATTTTACAACAAAGCAAAAAATTACAATACATCTTCTTCAAAAAGCAGGAATCTATATTAAATAGCAATTCCACTTTTCAGCCCAAACTGATCCACACATAGTGCCAAACTTTATTGGAGTTTGGCTTAGCGTGTTGTTTCTCACTGAGGTACTTTATTGTTTTGTAAATCATGTTTTATTGCAGGGCTGTCAAACTCCACAGAGAGGCTGCATCACACGCTGGCTACACACGTCTGGTTTAGCAAAGGGGAAAAAAGTCTGATACGTCACATGATGCCATCGTGACACCGTGAATTTGACACCCCTGTCTTATTGGCTCAATACAATATATAATGAATAGTGGCCAATTTAGTAAATCATTGTTGTTTGGCAAGTTGTGTGAACACATGCCAATTTACATGATACATTTACATGATACATAGCTTACTGTTAACATTAAAAATGCTTACAGATTATTCTTAATTTATAACCAATTGCTTAGCAATCATTCAAATTTACAATGTCCCCTCAAAAGCTACTTTTGATTCTATTTTGAAGTTACGACAACTTCACCAAGTTAGTTACATGATTCTATTTTGAAATTTGGCAACTGGTTCACCTTTACCACTATTTGCAGCACTGTGAGCATGATTTTTGACAAACTTTTTTGATTTCAGGTGTTGACTTCTGGTTTCCAGCCCCTCCCCCAAAAGCCCATTGGGTAAAAGCAGTTCACTTAACAACCATGGAATTTGCTTAACCACCACAAAAAGGTCATAAAATCAGGTCCAGTCATGTGGTGACCTGCTTAACAACTTGCAACTGTACATTTGGGCTCATTATGGTTCTAAGTCGAGGACTACCTATATTTAATAAATAAATAGGCTATGCCAATGCTGTGGTTTACTATGAAAATAACCCACAAAAAGAACCCACTTCTTTTTGAGTGAACTCCCAGTTAACAGTCAAGGTGGCTGGCTAGCTGATATTTCTGGTTATTTAATTTTGTATTATCATTATTATAACCTTTGACAACAATAAGTTTAAAGTGGACCACCAAGCATAGAGTGAGAAAAAGACAGCTGCTTTGGTTTCAGAATGAAGATATTCTGTACCCACATAAAAGGTAAAAAAACAAAAACGCAACTGTAGAAACTGCTCTTCATTTAACTTCATTTCCCTGGAAAGCTAATGACTGCTTATTTAAATTCTCTACTATTTAATCCTAACCCACAGCTACTTAATCAAGGACAAATCAATCAATTTTCCTAATTGTTAAATCACCTGTTACCTATTCACAAATGTAAAAGAGCACAATGTAACATCAAACTGTGGTTTACATTTATGCAGAATGCAAGCCTTTCACCAGTCTTTTGAACGTCTGGGAGGAGCAATGAAGCAGCACAAAAAATAAGACCTCTTATCCAATAATGGGGGAAAAATTAAAGAAAAGCATCCATACTTGGAACTGTCCTGTTTGAAAGATATAGAGGTATTTTTCAATTATTAATGATCCATACCTTAATACAAATACCGCAACCAATACATAATGTTTCAGAAATCCATGCTATTTTGCATTGTGATGTTACTTCTATGCACAATTTTCCTGAATAAAAAAAATTAAAAAGAACAAAAATTATTCAGAGCAGTATTATCTCTGGCCAGAATAATGTTTTGTAAATGGTCTCAAATAATCTTGAATGTAAGTACCTTAGGCACATATTTCTTAACTTTAAAATAAAAATTAGTAAACATACTAGGATACACATCAGATATTTACAAATATAACTTTATAGTTGAAAAATATGATTTTAAATGTTTTTTTCCTGTTCTGATTTTACATTTTAAAAAAATCAGTTATAAGTGACCTTGCATTTCTTACCCATTCGAACCACAGGGCAACTCTTCTTGCATTCCTGGCGACATTTCTTTGGCTTACATTTATCATGGTTCACAATAGCAATTCTTGTTAGTTTATCAGCCATAGTAAGGATTTACAGATTATTCACATATACTAAGTAAGGATTCCCAAATGATGATTCTAGAATAAAAGAACGAACAGAGATAAATATCCAGAAAACACTGAAGAACAGCAGATATCAATGATAGTGAAGTCGAAGAACAAGCATGCTTGGTAGAAGGGAGGTATTTCATCTCAGTCTTGCATTGATTTTTGTGGGTAAAGCCAAAATCAGTCTTAATCCTTCCATGCCAGTGCCTTTTGTGGTAAACTACTTAAAACCAAACTCTGCAGAATACAAATCTGATTCCTTATCAACAACACAAGCAATATATGGACTATGATATAAGAGGCTTAAAAAAAAGAAAACTTCAGTTCTTAAATTGTGACTTTCAATAGCTTATGTCCTGACTGCTTAAAGCTGAAAAGTACCTCTTATCCACATTTTTTTTCTCATATCACTAAATGTGACAGATTTGGAATGAGATCTGTAGTCGTATTAGCTTTTATAGAGAGAGTAAACATAATATACACAATAAAAAGGGAAAAAAAGGCAGTCATGATTTCATTGCTGTATTCCAAGTATAGGACTTAATTAAATAATTAAAGATTTTTGTAACACTTTCGTAAAACATAAAATTCTGGAGCCTTGATGTTCTCTGAACTTGGTTATATTTCATTATCCAATTAGATGACATCATCAGTGTACTCTAGGTTATTCTCTGGTAATCTAGTTGCACTAATGTTGTCTTTTTGGATGATGAAATGTCTTCAAGCAAACTGAGCTCAGAGAGCAACAGGGACTGTACAGTTCAAGCCTGAAATTACATAAAACTCAAAACTTTATTTACTCATTTGCTGAATTTATAGGCCACTTTTCTGCAAAAATATGGTGCTCAAACAGCACTTAAATGTATCCAATATCAAAGTCTAAATCAAAAACAAACTCGTACTATTTGATCAAGTATACTAAACTGCAGACTGTGTATATGCTTCTAATAGCCCAGTTGAACTTTACATTTTTCATCACAGTACATCAAACTTTAATAATACAATAATTTTACTGATACTTTTAAGTCAGTTTTTTACCTTTTGTAGATAATCAATGGACTGTAGCACTAAGTAACAATGGTATTAAGCGAAGTACTGAGCACTGCTTTGTATTTGAAAGGAAAACAGAGCTTCAGAGCACTTACAGGGTATCTGCATAAAGGAACATAAACTTTTTTGGGGTTCATGTGGCCACTATTTGCAGCTGTGGCACAATCTCAAAAAAAACAAAAACAAAATCTGAATGTGTTTAAAAGTAGCTCCTGTCAGGAGGTGCTATCTTACATTACATACACCCAAACTCCAAAGCAGTTTTTCTCTAAAAATTCAAATGTTGCTGAATCCCAATTGACATTATCTCCAGAGAGCCAAAATTTTATCTTTTATCTCATTCTTTCCATCCATATTAAACTACTGAAAATGTGGGAATCCTTCACATACAACAGTTTACATCCATGTTGTAGATGGTTAGCACAATACAAGACTCACACAGCAGTTTTGTAATGGTGACTCAGTTAATCTAAGAAAAATTATTTAAATATTCAGGGATTATATTACCAACAATCATCTCTGCTACCTAAATAACACTGACAACTATGCTGTGTTTTATCGCATTTCTAATACAAACGCTCCAAATTATCCAGTGAACAAACGTAAGTTTAATATTTGCCATGATCATCTTTTTTATAGCAACAAACCATCCTTATTTTTTACTTCACTGATATAACATGGGTTCCAGCACAGGAGACATTTAAAGCTTAAACAAATATCCAAAAGCAGAGGTAAAAATAGCCATCTTGATGGTCAAATCAAAAGGGTTTCATAGGGATCAGAAGAGTCAACAGATAAGTGGAAAAAAGGACATTTTCTAAGCACGGTGCCACCGCTGGAGGCGGGGGGGGGGGGGGGGGAAAACCTTCTGATTAAAAGTATCTTAAATCAAGCCGGTTCTTGAAAAAGAGCGTCGTCGAAAATAAATTCAACCGAGAGGCTTTTGCGGCCGTCCTTTTTTTCCTTGCCCAACTGGGGTGAAGATCAAGGGCTGTTAGGGACGACCAGGGCCCCGTTACATCGAGCCACTCGGAAAGCGGAATAGACATGTTAAGGGCTAAGAAAGAGACGAAGAAGGGCTGTCAATGGAACCGCGGCGGTACCAATTAGGGATTGTTCGGGCTTCTCACCGGCTAGGCTGCCTCTCTTTCACCGCGACGGGAAAGAAGCCTCGAGGCAGCTGGACAGCCGCGGCCCAAACCAACTCCACCTGATTGGAGAAGGAGCAGACCGGGCCCAACTACCACTAGTTCCACTTACCAGGAAAAAAAAATTAAGAGGCGGGAAGAACGAGAAGGGTGAGCTACGAATGAAAAAACTCCCCAGGCCTCCGTGGCTCGCAGGTGGACGCGGAGACAATGTGCCCCGACTGCCACCCGTTCAAAATGGCCGCCACCCTTAAAGGAGGAGCCGGCGGCTCACACCGTAGACATGGAAGTCTGTGATGAGGTAAGTACAGCGACATAGACAAGACGAAACGCCGGAAGTGCAAACGTGAGAGTCTCTCTCTCTCGCTCGCTCGCTCTCGCTCTCGCTTTCTCTCTGACATCATCACTTGGCGACGGGCTGTCTGGAAACTCAATGGTCTCGGAGAATTAAAGGAGTCGGGCGATCAGTAAACGGAGAGGGGAAGGGCGTGGCCAGAAAGCAGGTAGCGCTGTAACCTTAGCGGGGCGAGTAAGTAAGTGTTTTACCGCGTGTGCTAACTATTGGACGTTAGAGAGCAGCGGTCTCCAACCTTGAAGTCCTCCCGACTTAAAGTGGCCAAGGTTGGAGACCCCTGCGTTAGAGAGCGTTGATCTTCGTTTTGGCTTGCTGTTAACAGGCGTTCGTTTGTTTCACACCATATATAATTATTGATTATGATTTCAAGGGGTCTCTGAAATGGCCCTCGGTATTATTCTTATTTTTTTAAAGACAGCATTAAAAAGCCTAGAATGAAGAAAAAAAAGCCTACGCTTCCATGTTGGAGAAAGCTGCTGTATAGAACGTAGGGTATTCCGCATCTGAGCGGACTATCCTTGATGCTTTGACTGAAGTGACAAGCAACATTAGGAGAAGGAAGGTAAAATAGGTTAGGGTAGAAGGCTCAGTTGTAGTTTTGCTATATGTGTGCTTTTCTCTCTCTACTTGGCCTGTACTATCGTAGTATTCATATGGATGTCTATGGAGATTCTCAGTCATCCAGGTCATGGTTGTCCCAAATATGTTTTTTCAAGAGGCAACAACTCCTAAATGGCCAGCTATCTGCAGGGAGTGTAAATCCTTCCATTTCCCATCATCCAGTCAGAGCTGAAGAAACTTGCATGAGAAGCGAAACATCTTCAAAGAAAAACCAGAAAATCCAGTTGCCTCTTGAAAAAGCACCTTTGGGATATTCATATGGATTTGTGAACACGGGTGAAGAGCGAGCAACATAAATAAGGTGTCTTAAATATATAATGTATCTATATGAAGATTATCAGTCATGTAGAGTTGTCTGGACTTTTTTTCTTTTGGTCTTGAAATGTTTTGCTGCTTATTCAAGTAGCTTCTTTAGGTGTGTGGGTGTAGACACACATACACACACACACACAAACACACACACACACACGCATATATATATATATATATACACACATACACACACACACACACACACACACACACACATGTATGTATAAATGTGGGTTTTTAGAAATTATACAGAGGGAACATAGAAATTGTGGCCATGCAAGTAAGGAAGCAGAGTAAGAAATAAGGTAAGAAAGCAGAATAAGAAATAAAAGAAGATTGTATCTGAACTTATTTGAAAACAGGCATTTTTAAAAATGTTTCTGTCCCATGATTTGCAATAGCTCCTGTCATAAACGGGTCATATTTTAATTTCAGGTATAAATGTAATCTGTTTAAGCCATGGGGCCAGTTCATTCTTAGCTATCAAATTCTACCATTATCTTAGCAGGAAAATTGTTTGAACAATGGTTATGCTTCAAGATAGTGATTTTATGGGGATTATTATGCCTCTTATCATATACAACATCTCAAATGTACTTGAAATAGGGAAGCCAAATTTTCTTTTAAGGTCAAATCTCACTTGACTAGGATAAATAATTTAGATATTAGATATCCCAAAGTATCTTCAGTCAAATTATGGAAACACATCCACATTAGATGTGATTTTAAATAACTGCATTAAAATACATTAATTAGAATTTGGATATTCTGTAGATTTTTGCCAACCTTGGGCATATTCAAATTCTGGACCTCAGAGAAAGCATGGTGCTCCAATTGCTCCTTGTACTTCGCTCTTTGAATCTGATACTTAAAAGTATGCAAAGAAGTGCTTTGCAGCACCTGGGAGGATGTAGAAGCTCTATTTTCTAACTTTTAAATCTGTTGTGTTAATTGTATAACTACTTGTTTTATTGGGTGAAAAAGTAAAATTTCAGTGTATATGTAGACAACTGGGAATAACTTCTGAAGTAGCTGCATAAGCCTTGCAAATGATGCATATAGTTATTGACTGGTCTAAGTTCGGATTTCTGGGTAATTTTTCCTCCCAAACACTGTCTAGATCTATTCTAGTCTATATACTACCCTAGGATTAAGACAGAAACACTTATGATCATTATGTTACTAGATGATGGAACTATTCAGTAACTGTTCCTTGAATTTGTCCTTATAGTGACTCTTGATAACATGGAACATGATATTCTCCCACTTTCCTTCTTTTCTCTTCTTTTTTGTAAATTTTATTTGAGTTTTCACAAAAAAAAAATACAAATAAAACATCTTTTTTGAAAGTAGCGTGATCCCGGGTTACATTTCTTCATACAGACACAAATTCAATTTCATGCTCATTTTTATGTTCTATTCCATATCTTATTACTGTTTTACATTTTCTGCATACTTCTCCCCTCTTTTAATTTTCTCAATTTTATTTTAATTATTTAATTATTTCAATTCAAATCATTATTATATTTTTTGTCTGTCCTGTTTCAATTATCTATTATCTTTTCTCATTAAACAAAGTTTCTCCTGTAGTTACTGATTGGAGTATGACGCCTTTATATCTTTTAAGTTTATCCATTTAACTCTTATTTAGGCTTCAATATATACCCTAAAGTTATAACATTCAATATAATACATAACTTCCATTCGGATTCTGCTTGGTACATTCTTAAAATACACACTATATTCTTAAAAAAAGAAAAAATTATAAATATATGTAATTAAAACAACACATTCCATTCCAATTCAATTCTATCATTAATGTTAATATTCATTAAAATCTTAACATCTTTAACATTACTTTTCAATTAAATATCATACTTCTATGGGAACAATTATATGCTTTCCATAATTAATTCCCCCCTTCAATTATATTTTATAAAACATTAACTAATTAAAATGTTCCCGTTCCTTCCAAATTCAATTTTCTCCTTTATTTTATTTCACTTATTTTATTCACAAACATTTCACTAAATTACACTAACTATTTTATCCCTCATTTTAATCATACATTGTTTCCAATTTTCTAAGGTTATTTCTATTACTAATATAACAATACAATCTTATGTACCTTTACAGAATCCTTTTTTCAGTTAAATTTTCACCCATTATCTCTAAATAGGTCCTGTTTCCCTATATCATGTTCTGGGCCTTTGTAACTTCTTTTCCTTTACTTCTTCCCTCTCTTATTCTCTCTCCCCTTTTTACCCCCTTGTCTTTCTACCTCTATTTCTCTCTTCTGTATTCCCCTCTTCTGTTGCTTTCCAGTATTATACTTATTTTTCAAATTATTTTTCTTTTCTTTGGTTGTTTTTTAAGTTTTAAATTCTCCATTCCCTTTCCCCCCTTTCCTTTTTCTTCCCCACATAGAATTACTTGTTCATTAAAGATGGCTTCTTCTTTGTCCCAGTCTTCTTGTTTTGCAGATGTTTCTTGTTGTTTCTCATAGCTCCAAATCTCCATTTCTAAGATTTCTAAAAATCTCCATTTCCTTCGCTGCTTTCGACTCTTCTTTGGAAGCGATGTTATTTTGTTGTAAATTTAAATTCCAGGGTACCTTAGTTGTTGCTTTTACAATTTAACCCGGTCAGCCAAAACTTTCACTTCTTATCTTCCTCCTGCACATTCTTTTCTGGTCGAGTTCTTCTTTGAGGTGGCCATTTCTGACCACCGCTGCAACTGCCTTTGGGAAAGGGAGTAATGGCCAGCTGAGGAGGAGAGATGCGGCTCTTCTCAACCCTGCTGGCAGTCTCCCCCCTCTTCACCACTTCTACGGAGTGGCTTAGCCCTGAAACCAGCCGGCTCGGGCGCTCCAGCGGCGAGCCCAGACCGAAACCGAGCACAATCGCATATTTCTGTCTTTCGCAGAAGGAACTCAAACCAGAAGGGCCCGTTTTCCTTCTTTAGCCTCAGTATTACATCTAAACTTTTGAGAAAGTTTCCAAAAGCAATATTCTTATGTTATTTCTATTCTGCCACATAATTTTGGCTTACCCTTATTTTTTATACTGTAAAAAATATATCTGCCACATTCTGTCTTCAGGAGACACTATCCAGAGTTTGGACATTATTGTCTTCAAATTCTCAGGTCTCCCTGCAGTTCTACAAAAAGACTGTGGACCTCTTGAACAAATCTAGATAATGATCTAAATAATATTGTACAATTGTCAGATGAGATGGTATTCTCCCTGTAGAACTAAATACAAAACTTGATGATGCTGTTTCTTTATTTTCAGGGAAAAATAGGTAGTAATAGAAAAATAGAGTAGAATATTCTTTATTGGCCAAGTGTGATTGGACACACAAGGAATTTGTGTCTGGTGCATAAGCTGCCAGTGTACATACAAGTAACAAAAGTAATAAGTCATAGACCATAAATTATAGTTACAATCATAAATCATAAGATACAAACAATGTTGCCTTCGTTGCTTTTTCTAGGGTAATTGGATCTGAGCTATGCTTTGTACTATTCCAAAACAGATTTCTCTAATGTTTACATCAGGGGGTCTCCAACCTTGGCAACTTTAAGCCTGGTGGACTTCAACTCCCAGAATTCCCCAGCCAGCTTGGCTTCTGGGAGTTAAAGTTGCCAAGGTTGGAGACCCCTAGTTTACATAATGACTGTCCCTGATTGTGGCCTGATAGCTTCAGTTGATGTAAATGCAGCTATCCAGATGCTAATTTAGCTAACATCTGAAGTTATTGCAGTTTTGTGTCAGTTGCATATGGTTACAAGCATACAGGTAGTCCTCCACTTACAGCAGATTACTTAGTGGGCGTTCAAGGTTACAACAGCACTGAAAAAAGTGACTTTCAACCTTTTTTCACAGTTATGACCATTGTAGCATTCCCATGGTCATGTGATTTACATCCGGATGCTTGACAACTGACTCACATTTATGACTGTTGCAGTGTCCCGTGGTCATATGACCACTTTTTGCAAACTTCTGACAAACAGTCAATGGGGAAGCCAGATTCACTGATTTGCTTAACAAATATGGAAAAGAAAAGTTGTAAAAATGGGGCAAAACTCGCTTAACAAATTTTTCACTTAGCAACATAAATGTTGAGCTCAACTAAGGTCATAAGTTGAGAACTACCTGTGTTTTGGGGATCCAATTCCATGCTACTCTGAACCTTTAAATTGAACCCTTAATGGCATTTCTTAAAGGACTTCATGCGTAACATGTTGATCCTGCACTAAGAACTCCCTTGGGGCTCTTCGTTAAGATCAAAAGTCCCCAAACTTGGCAACTTTAACACGTGTGGACTTCAACTCCCAGAATAGCTGGCTGGAGAATTCTGGGAGTTGAAGTCCACAGGTCTTAAAGTTGCCAAGTTTGGAGACCTCTGGTTAAGATCAATAATGTTGGATTATAGTAGGAATAAGGTACATTATTCTAGTAGAGACTCCAGTTTTTTGGAATACCAAATCAAGCTTTGTCCTGCCATTTTATGTATGGCATTTAGTTAGACCTTGGACAATTTTCTATTTAAGGCTGTATTTGATAGATTTCATCTGCTATCATAGTGGCTTTAACCATTTGGTAACTGATTTTTCACTTATAAAAAGATTATTTTCAGCAAGTATAAATAAATCAGAATGTAACAAACTTGTAAACAATGATCTATATACACAGAAATCTAATTCCAAATTCCTGCATTATTTCTATAATACATTTAAGTGATGAACTGATTGTGACTTTCTAAATATTTGTTTTCTAATCCTGTGTCTAGGGAAATTTTCTTTTTAATGTCATAGGAAGATTCTTAATAATAAAGGACCATATTATTAAAATGGAAAATGGCTTTCCAAAAGAAAATTAACACGTGGCCACAAACCACAAATTCTTGACATTTTAAATAATATAAAAACAGTTTGGAAACAAGATCTAACGCACTGGAAACTGTTCTTGCTATTAATACATTTGAAATCACTCCAGTAGCTGTAATTAATACACTTTAAAGGTCTTTCTGAATTTTCCCATTGTGTAATTATCTTATAAATCATTCCTGTTAATTTTTATTACTATTACAGCTAACACTCTGAAGAATAATTTTATTCTTTTATTTTTAAGTTAAAGATGAATATCAGCAAAAATATGATATGATTTCAGCAAAAATTGTCTTGTGATGTTTAAAGAATGGATGACTCCTTTATTCTATAACTTTTAGTTAAATTCATCATTGATTATTTTCAAGTATAAAATAAATCGGTTGACTCATCAATTATATAAGAAAAATAGGCATTTTTTATATTTTGGTTTTTTCAAGGACTTCTGGATGGACTATGCTGATTATTCATTTTAGCCTTGCAATGGCTTTGATCTAAGACAGGGGTCTCCAACCTTGGGAACTTTAACACTTGTGGACTTCAACTCCCAGAATTCCTAGGAGTTGAAGTCCACAAGTCTTAAAGTTGCCAAGGTTGGAGACCCCTGATCTAAGAGACTGTCCCATTGTTGAGTTTTACCTAAGGGAAAATAAAGAGTCACATCTCCTGTTCTAGGTCCTACTTTATGTTCCTTTTACATCGATGTTTCTCAACTAATGGGAAAAATAAAATCGGAGAGTTTGGATAAAGGATAGAATTTGGGTGGTTATTTCCCTCATTTGTTATTCTGTGAGTTATTTAATCTCCAGTAAAATCCCCAAAGTAATAATTTGGGATTACAGAGGACTATAGATAAGCCAATAAATAGTACAGCCACATCCCATCCAGCTCTGTTTAATGGATTTAGACCTTTTCTTGGTTAGCTTATGCAAGAATTATAAGCATGATTAACCTCAATCCTTTTTTCCACTCTTATATTTTGTTTTAAATTTAAAATTCCTAAGCATACTCTCGTTCTTGTTTTTATTAACCAAAAAATATGTTTCTATTCTTAGTCTAAAGCAATTATAAGCCATTAGGTCCATAAAATGTGAAACACTGGAAAAAATGAGGGAGGAGGAAGGTCACCTAAAATATTTCAACCAAAGATTGCTACATTTGTGGCAGACCTTTTAAACATTTTCCTTTCTGTTCCTATTGTCATGAATGTGGAATATTTTAAATTATACTTTTTTTTTTTTTTCCTAGTGAAAAATGACCACTGCTAACAAGACTCCCCCTGGTGCAGATCCAAAACAGTTGGAAAGGACAGGAACTGTTCGAGAAATAGGTTCACAGGCTGTTTGGTCTCTTTCATCTTGTAAACCGGGTAAATTGCAGAAGCATCTTGTTTATAAACAGGCCAGGAACTCCCTTTAAAAGTAGAAAGTAACTTTTGAATTTAATTTAAATTAGATATTACAATCAAACTTAAGTGTTTTAGGCATTTGGGTGTCCAAGAAAATAGTTCAGGAATATAGAATATGCACTACTACTTTTCACTAGCAAGAGCTTTTTAGATTACCATTGGGCAACCCTTGGGTCATCATTTCAGAGACATTTCCTTACCAGATTCCTCAATGCCTTAAACCAGGGGTGTCAAACTCATGTCACAGCGGCATCATGTGATGTATCGAGACTTCCCCCCCTTTCGCTAAACCGGGCATGGGTGTGGCCAGCGCATGACGCATCCAGCCCAGGGGCCAGGAGTTTGACAGTCCTGTCTTAAACAATGGTAGAGCTAACATAGTGGAAAAATTCTTACAAATTCAATGTGATGTTAAAAGATGTATCTGCCTTGAAAGTAGCCCATGTTGAACTGTATAAGACATTCAAACCTTAGGAGTTGACAATAGGAAATGTTTTATAAATGTTTACATCATATAATGTTTTAATAAATTTGCCAAATTTCAGTTCCACGTGGGTCATGGGCCCCGGATTTTGAACCAATTCTTTAGTTAGTCCATTTAAAGTGCATTGGTTATGCATTTGGCCATATGATGCACCATTCCACCCAGCTAAAGATCACAGACATAGGAGTTTTAGTAGCATATAAGTAGATAGATGCTCTCAGTGTTTTAGTATTTCCTATGCTTCCAAATATAACAGGTTGTAAGCATCCTAGGATGAACTATAAGACTGTTAGTTTTGTTACATTGATTGCCTAAGGATGCTATGCTGAAGACTCTGTTTGCTTCTGTATATTCAAAATAGGCTTTGGGGTGGATCAGTTACGAGATGATAATCTAGAAACATACTGGCAATCTGATGGATCACAGCCTCATTTGGTCAACATTCAATTCAGGTAGTGAATATTTATGCACCAATATTTTTCATTGTTATGCATTTAGCATTTTTAAAAATCTCTTATACAATTTACACACACACACACACACACACACACACTGATCCATGACTCAGTCATCATTTCAGAGATTTCTTCTACCAGATTCCTCAATGCTTTCAATGACAGAACTACTAATGTTCCTCCATTCACTGGAAATGTTGGGATGTATTCAGAGAAGTATTGCCCTATGACCATAGGTAGTCCTTGATGTACAGCCACAATTGAGCCCAACATGTCTGTTGCTAAGCAAGGTAGTTGTTAACTGAGTTAAGCCCCATTTAAGTTCTTCTTTTGCCACAGTTTTTATGTGACACACTTCAGTTGTTAAGTGAATTGTGTGGTTGTTGGGTTCTCCCGTTGACTTTGCTTAGCAGCAGCTGGCTGGGTAGGTCTCAAATGGTGATCACATGACCCCAAGACAGTGCAACCATCATAAACTAATGGCAGTTGCCAAGTGCCTGAATTTTGATTACATGACCCTGGAAATGCTGCAACGGTTGTAAAGGTGACAACTGGTCATAAGTCATTTTTTTCAGTGCAGTTGTAACTTTGAATGGTCACTAAACAAATGGTTGTAAGTCGAGGACTATCTGTATCACAGAAATGATATAATTTCCTTCAGTTACATCACCAGGATAATATTATCTTCAGTTTATTGGACTTTTATGAATATGGCACACCTGTTCACTAAGTCATTCAGTTAAGTGAGGTTACTGCAGTTAAATGTACAGTACTGTTTATCCAAAAAGTATTGTGAGGTAAATCTAACTTTTTTAAAAAATTCTGTGAACGTGTACAAGAAGCCTTCTGAAAACTGAATTGATTCAAAATAATATTATGAGAAACATAGTTTAATTGCCTGCAAAATAGATTTAAACATTTTAAAATTAAGATTATTGCATAACCCTAGCTTTTCAAGGGTAAAAGGGTTAGAGTTATAGTGGGGAAATACTGTACATATTAATCCATCTTCCTTGATAAATAAAAACAGAAATATGCCTTGATTTGTGTAATCATGGCATGTAAAAATACTAACTTTTGAAAATAAGAATAATTATACATTTGCTTTTATACTACTCTAACTTTAAAAATTATAATTTAGATATGTATTTTAATAATTTAACTTTAATTCATGGCCACAAAATCTCAGGTATTTCAGCACAGATTATTCTTTCACTGTTGTAACTTAATATTGTATTTTTATCCATTCACTTTTGATATTCAAAAAAGTCCTAACTTATTGTTTATACATTACTTTAGAATGAACTAAAAGTTGAAAGATATGAATTACCTAAATTATATTTTTAAAAACTTAAAATTACAAATATTTGGTTAATGTTACTAATCTTGAATACTAAGATAAATAAATCAAATTGCTTGGAATTTGAACCTTGGGATAATTAATGAATCCAAGGAACGTTAGATACAGTAATGTATATAAAGCTACATTTCAAATAGGAAAAAATAGAATTCTTTCCAGTATTTATTTGTTTTGGAGTTAACCTACCATTCAAACAAGTTGCAATATTTCCAAAGAATGGTATTGTTTTACTAAACCTTACTTAACCTTCATACATTTTTATCATCTAATCTTGATTTTGCGATTGTTTGATTCCAGAAGAAAAACTACTGTGAAGACATTATGCATTTATGCAGATTATAAATCTGATGAAAGTTACACTCCAAGCAAAATCTCTGTGAGAGTAGGGAACAATTTTCACAATCTTCAGGAAATTCGGGTTGGTATGCTTTACTCCTTAAAAACATTTTAAAGATAAGTCCTTCCAAAAGATCTGTATTCACAGACCAATATTTGGAAAGTAATAAATAAATAAATACATTGGATACAGTCCAGTTAATTGAACTCCTTGGCTGGCTTCAGAGAGCTGCTTGATTGTCATAGCTGTTTTAGGAGATCCATGGAATGCTTTATTAGCAGCAAGAAAGGAAGGAAGATATACTCATGTTGCATCCATAGGTGCCATGTTGCATTTTTTTGTACCGTTTTAGAAAGCAAATGGCTGAGAAGCTAACTAGATAGATAGGCAGGCAGGCAAAAAAAAAGGATTTTGTGTGTAAACCAACAAATTTTCTGTCTATCTTTAAGCAACTGACAGCCATATTATGTCACAAATTGTTTTGTAAAATCTCCCAGTATCGGAATAGGCTGGAATTTCAAATGGCTTAGGATGCCATTTATAGATGCCTAATATTTTCATTTGTGCACTTAAGGACTGAACTTTGATGATGTCTTCGTAATTGGCATAAACTAGCGGTATACCAATAACTATCTTGAATCCATGAGATGATTGATTGCTTAATCCAATTGAACATCTGTGTCATCCATTGATTATACAATTTTTGATTGGCTAGGATTGCTCCAGTAACTAAACTAGAAAAAAATTAAAATATAAACAAAATAAAAATTGCAATATATTCAAAACCCATGCCAAAAAAATAGAAGAAGGGTAAAATCCAGTTTTCAATTAAAAGAGAGGGGACAGGGAAAACAATGTGTGTGTTCTCTGGAAGTATTGCTTTAAACCTAAAAATAAAATCAGAAAAATATTTATTACAATTGTCTGTTCTTTGATTTTTCCCCCTTATCATTCAGTTCCACTAGATGTCACTCTTGTCTTTAAATTCTTACTTTGGCTTCATGTCCCAACATCATTCTGTGTATACTTTTATATATATATGTGTGTGTGTGTGTGTGTGTGTGTGTGTATGTGTATGTATAAGTATATGTATATGTATATGTATATCTTCCTAGAAGCTGAGCAATTTGGTTGATGGGGAGAAATCTGAAAAATTATATTCTACAGGCTATCTTTGCTGTTCATGCATGCATGTAAAATGTTTATATTTTAGTGGCCAATTTTAATCTTGATGTGTAGACTTTCATAGATATGTCAAATCCTGTTTAATTTTTTCAGCTGCTGCCAGATTTTTATTGCTTCTATATTTGTTTCCAATTGATTTTATACAAATAAAGGATGATGATGGGAAAGTCTTAGCATCTTACTAAATAGAGAAAACATCTTACAAGTGCTATTACATTTACTGCTCTCTACAACTTGCATTTTAACAACAAATTATTAGGACTAGAACCATAGAATTCTAGGGCTTAGAGGACTTCTAATCCAACTTCCTGCCCAAGGCAGGAGACTAGACTATTAGATTACTACACTTATGAAACAGTAATTTGTAAACTGTAACTGTTTATTAAATGTCATATGTGGAAGCACTACCTGGCTAATCTTGATTGAACCCCCCCCCCGCCCCCAATAATCAATGTTGAAGCTGGTAAAATCACTAGCTGTCAAGAAAATTATATGGATGTATCTATGTAATCATAAGAGCTGTGCTTAAGAGTTTCTGATGATCATTTTGTTGTATAGGTTTTCATTGTCCTTATATCTATCCAATATATGAAGAAAGAACAAGATAAATGAAAACACATATTTTTATGAATAATATTGCCCAATCCAAGCTATCAAGAAAATGTGCATAGGATTTCGGCTCTGTTCTAGTTCTCATTCTTTCACTCTACATAATTAATTAAAAGTGAAACTTCTTGTATTTTAGATTCCCCCTTTTCACAAAAGAAGAGACAATCCAATTCAGTAAAGGTTAACATTCTAAACTATTTAGCATTATGAAAATAAGCCTGAATGATTTAGATTTTATCATCATTCTATATTCTCTCTTTTCTCATCTTCTGATACAGCACAAGAAGATTCAGAATTTCTGCTTCTATTTCAGATTAATTACCTTTTAGTCTGTTACGTTAATCTTAACCATGGCAATTAGAAACAAACCAGCCCTATAAATTATTATTTAAATTTAGTTTATTTTTTCTAAGCATAATTCAGATTACTAATTATTGTTTGTGCTCTAGTGACTTTCAAACTGGTTTATCTGTAATATCACCAGAAGTTTCCTAGATCTTCCTTGGTAGTACTTGAGATGAGGCATAAGCCCTACATCTGTGAAAGTTTATTTTCCTGTGTTATGTCTGATCAAGACCAGTATGATTATATGAGATAATTTAAACAATGTTACTCATTTTTTCTTATCTTCTGTTTGCTGATTAACTGGGTTAACTTCTGTTGTTAAGTGCAACAAAAAAAATTGGGGGGTTAAGTACAAACATGGAGATACCTTGTCTTTCTTTTTACAACACATGCCTTCTTAATATTAATTGAGTTATTTCATTTTTCTTTTCAAACATTCAAGATTTAGTTTGGAAGAAATATTTGAACCACATCACTAATTTTTGGCAATTGCAGTTAAAGAGGAATATGAGGGTTGGAAAAATGATTGTATCCTAATCACATTGCTCAGAAAGAACCAGTGGGCAGAAACATAGTCCTTGATTTATTACTGTAATTGAAGCCAGAATTATGGTCATAAGTTGTGCCAGTCATTAATAGGATCACCACAATTACCACACCCATTTGTATGACTTTTTTGCAGCAGTCATTAAATGAATACCATAGTGCATGAATGAACACTGCAGTTGTTGTTGTTTTTGTTTTTTTGTGTAAATTTTATTTGAGTTTTCACAAAGAGAAAAAAAATACAAATAAAACATCTTTTTTGAAAGCAGCATAATCCCGGGTTACATTTCTTCGTACAGACACAAATTAAGGTTCATGCTCATTTTTATATTCTTTTCCATATCTTATTATTATTTTATATTTTCTGCATAGCTTTTCCCGTCTTTTAATTTTCTCAATTTCATTTTAATTATCATCTCAATTCAAATCATTGTATTTATATTTTTTGTTTGTCCTGTTTCAATTATCTATTATCCTTTCTCATTAAACAAAATTTCTCCTGTAGTTACTGATTGGAGTATGATACCTTTATATCTTTTCCCTAAAGTTGTAACATTCAATATAATACATAACTTCCATTCGGATTCTGCTTGATACATTCTTAAAATACACACTGTATTCTTAAAAAAAGAAAAAATTATAAATGTATATAATTAAAACAACATTCCATTCCAATTCAATTCTATCATTAATATTAATATTCATTAAAGTCTTAACATACTTCTATGGGAACAATTATAAGCTTTCCATAATTAATTCCCTGCCCCCTTCACTTATATTTTATAAAATATTAACTAATTAAATTCTTCCCGTTCCTTCCTAATTCAATTTTCTCATTTATTTTATTGCACTTATTTTATTCACAAACATTTCACTAAATTACACTAACTGTTTTATCCCTCATTTTAATCATACATTGTTTCCAATTTTCTAAAGTTATTTCTATTACTAATATAACAATACAATCATATGTACCTTTACAGAATCCCTTTTTCAGTTAGATTTTCACCCATTATCTCTAAATAGGTCCTGTTTCTCTATATCTTACTCCGGTCCTTTGTAACTTCTTTTCCTTTCCTTTTTCCCTCTCTTCTTCTCTCTCCCCCTTTTTACCCCCTTGTCTCTCTACCTATATTTCTCTCTTCTGTATTCCCCTTTTCTGTTGCTTTCCAGTATTATACTTATTTTTCGAATTATTTTTCTTTTCTTTGGTTGTTTTTTAAGTCTTAAATTCTCCATTCTCTTTCCCCCCTTTCCTTTTTCTTCCCCACGTAGAATTACTTGTTCATTAAAGATGGCTTCTTCTTTGTCCCAGTCTTCTTGTTTTGCAGACGTTTCTTGTTGTTTCTCATAGCTCCAAATCTCCATTTCTAAGAATTGAAAGACGAAGCTAAAATAACCCTTCCCTTCTTGTGCATCTTCTTTGTACTTTTTAAGTTCCATTTTCAATTCATCCAGAAGTGGTGCCATTGTATAAATTTTTAAACAACCACCCAGTTGATTCAAATATAATAACCCAAAATCCAAAAATCACCAAATAATCCAAATACACGCAAACTGTTTCTTTTTTACTCTTTTTTTCACTTTCTCTTTCTGGGGTTACTATTTAGTTGCAAAATTTCAGTTAAAATCTATCTTTTAGAAGTCTTGCTGAAGTTTTACTTTTAGATTCTTTTTAATTCCAGGCAGTCTCCTCACTCTTCCAGATCCTGCTCTTATTCTTTTTTCTCTCCCTTCCTGCTTATGAAAAAGAAACTTTTTAATGTCCAGAAATCTTTATTATCCCTTTGGTATTTTGTTTTATTTTCAGCTTAATTGCCTATTGATGTCAAAGCGGATTTTTCCGATTTCTTATTTAAGTCTCTTAGTTGTCAGTATAGGGAAGGAGAGAGAAGGAAAAAAAAAGCCAAACCTTTCCCTTTTCACTTTCCTTCACTGCTTCCGACTCTTCTTTGGGAGCGATGTTATTTTTTTGTAAGTTTAAATTCCAGGGTACCTTGGTTGTTGCTTTTACAATTGAACCTGGTCAGCCAAAACTTTCACTTCTTATCTTCCTCCTGCACATTCTTTTCCGGTTGAGTTCTTCTTTGTGGTGGCCATTTCTGACCACCGCTGCAACCGCCTTCGGGAAAGGGAGTAATGGCCAGCTGAGGAGGAGAGATGCAGCTCTCTTTGACCCTGCTGGCGGTCTCCCCCCTCTTCACCACCTCTACGGAGTGGCTTAGCCCTGAAACCAGCCGGCTCGGGGCCCTCCAGTGGCGAGCCCAGACAGAAACCATGCATGATCGCGGATTTCTGTCTGTCGCCGAAGCCCTTCAAACTGGAAGTCAACACTGCAGTTGTTAAAAAGAGTCCAATGGGCAGTTTTTGTTGGAAACCAGAAATAAATACCTGGCCAAAAATGTTGTAAATCCTGATCACATGGATACAGGACGCAGAAAAAAGCTGGAAATTCTGGCCTAAAATGTGATCCTGTGACCACAGGAGGACAGCTGTCAACTTCAAAACCAGATTGTAAGTAGCTCTGGGGAGGTCCATCATAACTTCAAACAGTCCCTAATTCTGCTTATGTTCAAAAGATTTTAATCTCAATTTAGTTCTCACTTGCAAACAAAAACTTAGTAATTTGCTGCTTCTTCTAAGAAAGTATCTTTAGTATTCAATTTTTATGTAGCATGTAGTTTCTTGCTTACAACATAATTTCAATACTGTGATATGTGAACTAACTTGGAAATAAATCTGTATGAATCCTTGTTAATTAATTTTTTATGCCAATAGAAATTCTCGTTCTATTGCCATTAGTAATCTCTACATTTTGGCACCAAAAATGTAGAGCTAAAGTAATTGGCTTTTCTGCATTTTGGCACCAAAAATATAGCTCTAAAGTAACTAATTATAATGAATTGTTGTCATCCTTTTATTCTTTGTTTGCATCAACAATGGGAATATTTTATCTGTTTGCTAGGTTTTCATTTAATTCAGCAATCAACAAAGATAATCTTGCAACAATTAACATTCACTAGCATGAGATTCTCCTCTTTGACAGTACAATATACATATCAAATGGATATAAATACATTTATTGGAATTGTTCGTACTGGTTAAATCAGAGAGCTAGAATATTTAGAATTACTAAAATGCTTATGAGGGAAATCTCACATTATATTAATTCCATAAAGTTTTTAAAAATCCATAAAGTTCAAATAAAGTTTGTTACCTGAAAAAAGGTGGTTGAAACCCATATACAAAGCTCTTTAACACATGAAACTGGTAATATAGTGAAATTGTGCACCTGCTTTTAGGATTAAACTGAGAGAAAAACTCTCACTCTTTTTAATTTACAATCAGGGAAGAGATGTAGGAAGAAAGGAATATAGCAGGGGTCTTCAAACTTGACTGCTTTAAGGCTTGTGGACTTCAACTCCCAGAATTCCTCTTCCAGTCATGCTAGCTCAGGAATTCTGGAAGTTGAAGTCCATCAGTCTTAAACTTGCCAAGTTTGAAGACCCTTGGAATATAGAATAGCAGGCCAGTATTATATAGCCACTTCTTGTTTAGCAATTACTTTGACTAGTAACCATTTGTAAATATAACAATAAGATAAAACTCCTGCATTTAGAACAACCTTCTTACACCTTACAACAAGTCTTCATTGTGGAACTGATTTATTCTGGTCAGTTTCAGGCAGGGGGCAAGCTGGTCTGAGGGTTATAATCAACTAATTAAGGTAATAATATTGAACTTCTTAACTTGTATTAGCACTTTTCAGGGAAGTGCTGCATTAAGGAGAAAAGCAGCTCAAAAAGAGATAAGCAATCTTTCCACCTTCTGGGAGGGGCTGTAGGAAAAAAATGAGCCAAGCACAAAACACTGTATGAGGTAACTTATCTGAATGATCTTTGCAGCTTTCCGCCATTCACTCACTCTCTATTTCACGATCATACGTGAGCAACCATTTTGTTTAGCAACCATTTCACTTCTGATTTAAGGAACAGGAATGTGTCTGCTTAGTGCTATGTCGCTAAATGAGGAGTGGGTATATTCATTTTACACACCTCAACTCTACATTTGGTGGGTCTTCTTATAGATTTTATTTGCATTGTGTTTGTAATGGTTAAGGCTCTGAGAATGGGGAGAGCCAGCTTCTAATCTTGTCTTAGGTATGAAAGCCAGATGGATGACTTCAGGCCAATCACCTTCACCCCTAGACTGAGGAGTTAAAAACATCTCAGAAAAAGGTAATGACAGTTCATTTAAACAGTTTTGTCAAGAAAACTAGAGGGACCTATCCATGAGTTTGCCAAAAATCTAGATTGACTTGAGGTCTCTGAGAAAAAAACAACAACCTTACATTAAGGACTTGCAGAGATCATTTAAAAAAAAACCCGTTTCCCTATTGTAAGCTAATTACATCAATGTGTGCATAGATTCAATAGGATTTGAATCTGAGTTTATTTTAAGGAAACGTTTAGTTTTTTTTTTTTTCATCCAGTATTCTAGATGAGTCCTAGAAAAAATGTTCAACTTTATCAGAGCCAGTTCAAGCTGAATAGAAAAAATTATTGTGGGTTTTTGTCCAATATGTGTACATGTACACATATATACATAAAATTCTATATACATCATAAAAAAGGTAAAAGTTAAAAGTTACGACAAAAGGAAAGGGAGAGGAGAAAATTTTAAAGATATCAAAAGAACATAAGTTTTTTTATTGGACACTATTGGTTGCTTCTTGTAGAAGAAGCAAGGCACAATTTGATTGTGTTATTGGCCGTAGTGATATTGGTATGATCTGCTAGAAGATAGAGACATACAAGTGGTCATCTCTTACTTGGAATTGCTGAATTAATAACTTGTACAGGTTCTAATAGATATTACAGTGCAACAGGACGTGTGAACATCCTGCATGGTTGTGGGAATCACAGAGGCAAGGTTGTACATGGAAGAGATTTTTTTTTGATTTATTTATCATCAATAACTGTTGAAGGGAGGTGTTGAATTTATCCAGAGCAAATGCTCTACTATATATTGTTTGTTAAGGATTGGTGATAATTGTCTGCCTTGGTGTTAAAAAATGGTCTCCAAATCTAATCTAGCCTAGGTGACTAAAATTGAAATCACATTGTGATCCTGC